ATAGAGACATTGAGATGGCAATCGGTAGCACATGTAGCAAGACAAGACACCAACAGATGGTCTCATAAAGTGACATTCTGGAGACCTCAAGAAACAAAAAGAAGCGTGGGGAAGACCCAAAAAGAGATGGATAGACGATATAACAGCTGTAGCTGGAAAGCAGTGGATGAGAACTGCAAAAGATAGGAAAGCGTGGAAGCAATTGGAGAAGGCCTATGTTCAACAATAGATAAATGAAGGCTAAAACATAAGAAGATATATGCAAATCAAACAAAACGGATAAAGTACGACACCAAGCTACAAAAACCTGATAACGTAGAAAGCTTTTAACCGATATAATATGGGAAAATAAATATGAATACTGGCATAAAACCTAAAGGGTACAATACAACAATGCTTTGCATTATGACGTAAATACACTGTTAAACAGTGTTTGACCCAATTAGAACAAAATGGCTAATGGTAGCAGTAGAGAAAAAAACAAAAAAAATAACCTCCAAAACTTTATATGGTAGAGAAACAAGTGAAAAAATAATAGACAGGTAAAAATAGCTTAGTTAAAACATTGACACAACAATGTAAATGAGTAAGAATATATTGATAAAATTGTTCAATACGGAATATTTCCAGACAAATCACCAATAGGGCTAAGCAGCATTGGGATTTAAAAACGCTATATAACTGTTTGGCAGATACCGAAAATTTAAAAAGGACTTGGCCTATTAAGAAAAATAGCGAAGAAAAATAAGACAAATTAAGTTTATGTGGCCATAAAATAGTAGCAACAATAGAGTCTACCTCATAGGTATGAGCTAGTAACTTTCTTCTTGAAATAAAAGTCAGTGTCCCTAAAAAAATCTTTTTTAATAATATTAAGTGGTTCAAAAACAATAATACATTTTGGCTTGCATGAAAAAATTTGATACGAATTCCCTTAAACACGCAATATAGAAACTCATCCGTACATGTAAATCACACACAGATTTAAAAACAAAAAGTAGATATCCGAAGATTTTTTAGATTTCGAAAGAAAAATTCTGATTTATGGGGAATCAAAATTTGCATTCTACATCATATCGGTTCGTCTAGGCAAGAACTTTTCGTAAACTGCTTTCTTATACTTAAAATAAAGGAATAGTACTGCTGGGGCGAAATACGTATAAGCTAATAGTAGAGAGACATACATAAAATCAAACCTTAGCTGTCTTTAATGTACATGCATTTAAATTTAACTATTAAGATATTTATTTCTGAAACTTGCATAGACGATGAAAACAGATACCTTCAAAGATGCTCAGAGACATCAGAGAGATATCACATGTTATATTCATTTAAACATTTCATTTTTAATACCGATGATGCTATTATAAAAGACCAAAACAGTGTATACTGGGTAAGAAGTAAGGTAATCTATATAGAACATAACTAATATAGGAAAAGATAACACCAAACACCAGTATGTCTCACTGTTGGATTACGAATTAATATGTAAAAATAATTTTGTCTACATCAATGACAATTTACACTGACAGCGCCAAAATATATTAAGGAAATGGGAACACATTATATACTGTAGGAATTCTTAAAAAAAATTCTAAAATTATATTTTTGCACAAATTTTTGAGTTTTTTCGAAGGTGAATTTTAAAATGTTATATTGGTATGACTTTTCCTAGTAAAGAACTGTACTAAACTATTTTATTTAATGTCTTAAATATCTGATGTTGAAGATTGATATTGGACTCACTCGACAATCAAGTTTACTTTCTTGACTTAGGATTCGGACAGAAACAGAGCGTTGGAAGATTTGTTGTGCCTCATCTTAGCAAGATAATAAATGGACACGATCTGAGATGTGAGCTAGGCGTGATATTGGCATGGAATATAGGCTATCTTGAACAGTTCCTCTAAAATCGGCTATCCTTCTCGCCAAATCATTCATAGTTTCTTCAATCTCCTGTTGTTGTACCTCAAATGGAATATTTGAGGCGGAAATATGTCGGAAACTCCTATTTCCTTCTTCCTCCTTAAAGCTCCACGCAATATTTTGCGTTTTAGATCAACATTGGCAGGCTCATCCATATTAATGTCCCTAACCCTTAACTCATAATTCAATTCCTTCACTAACAAATGTTCTACCTTCAATGCAGACATTACGAACACCAAAACCAAAAAAATAGATAATAAAATAGAAGAATACATAAACCAATAGAATCAAAAAAGAATAGATAAAAGAAATAATGTATCAACACACGCACAAACTCAATCTACGAATAATCTAAAGTTATCCAAAAAAATTTATATATATTATATATTTAAACAGAATTAAGTAAGACTTAGATAAAATATGAACACAATAATGAAAATGGGAAAGGAATAAACATATTGATAAAATGGTGCAATAGGGAATATCTTTAGAAAAATCACCAATAGGACTAAAAAGCATTGAGATCTAAAACCGCTGATATAGTTGTTTAGCATATACCAAAGATTTAACAATTAAGATTGGCCTATTAAGAACAATGGAAAGTAAAAGAAGATAAGTTAAGTTCATGTGGCCTAACAATGGCATCAATAATAGAGGCTACTTCATAAGCATGAGCTATTAACTTTTTTCTTGAAATGAAAGCGAGTGCCCTTAAAAAAATCTTTTTTAATCATATTAAAATGTTCAAAACTCAAAATTTAAAAATAAAAAGTAGAAATTTTAAGATTTCTTGAATTTCGAACCCAAAATCCAAATTATTGCCTAAATCTGTGCCTTGTAGAAATTTTAAAGCAAAACAAACGGTGAATGGACGGACATGGGGAATCTAAATTTGCATTCTACAACATATCAATTCATCTAAGCAGAAACCTTTCATGAAGTGGCTTCTGCTCTAATACTCAAAACACAAGCAAATACAGATAGAGAAAAGACTGTTTGTGGATTTAATTTCACATATAGTGCCTATACTATTCGCTTATAGGTACGTATTTCGTGGGCTCTGAGGAACTCTTCTTCTTCCTGTAATGTCTATCCGTTGGATGTTGGCGACCATCATGGCAATCTATATTTTGCAAACTGCTGCTCTGAAAAGATTTGTGGTTGTTGTGTGAACCATCCTAAGTAGATTTTTCAGCCAGGAAATCCTTCGCCTTTCTTTCTTAGTCCTCGTTTTCCTTGTAGAATTAAATTCAGCAAGATATATTTTTCACTGTTCTTCATGATGTCAGCGAGGATGATTTGGCCTGTTTTATTTCTCTCTTCTACTTTGAGTCTTCGATCTGTATTCTGAGCCCTCGGTTATTCTCGTTGTTAACTGTTTTATTGCTAACAATCCTTTTCCTTTTTGAAATTTTAATAAAACGAGCTAGTTAGTAACGTGTTTGGTATAGGATATCTTCAGGATTTGACGATAAAGCCACATTGATGAGTCCTGCTAGGACGAAATACATATAAGCAAAGAGTAGAGGCACTATACGTAAAATCAAGTCTTAACTGTCGTTTCTATATATAAATTTAAGTTTAACTATTAAGAAAGAAACTGGAAAGACACAGATTTATACAAACAATACATATTTAATACCGATGATGATACTATAAAAGAGCAAAAACTATATACTGGAAAAGAAAGAGAAGTGAGTTATATAGATAATTTTACGACTGTTCTAACAACCATCAAATTTCGTCATTGTGTGTCATGTGGAACAATTTCACCCAATCATGTCAACATTAGACTGATAATTGCATTCAGTGCAATTTTCAATCTCTATGACAACACGATCGAGTTTGACAACTTCATCCAAATAAATTTTAAAATGTCACGTTTCGGCAATGAGAATGTTCAATGTATAAATGCGCTAATCAAAGAAAACATTCCCAAAAAAGTGGTGTAGAAGAACAACAATTGCTAAAAATTGCTGGTCATGGCAATCAGAATTCTATAAAACCACACTTGAATCTCGATCAAGAACACCACAACAAGATTATAAATATTATGCGTAGTATAGACTCTATATAGAGAACAGCAACTATCTAATGTTAACTTAAATTTTAATAATTGTACTTTCACTAACTGTACTTTCAATAAATAAATGTTTCGTTATGATTTTTTTTTCGAAAAAATTATCCGCCGAATATACCTCGGACATTGATGAAATGCCTCATAATTTCATGACAAATTTCTCAAGCTTGTTGCTTGGTAACAGCACTCAGCCTTCGGCTTCGTGCTGTTACCAAGGAACGAGCTTTCGATTGTCATGAAATTATCACGTCTGTTATCAATGTCCTAGGGATATTAGTACTGAAAATAGCTTAAAAAGGAAAAGACGCCACCAAACACCAATGTACTAATGTTGGATTACGAATTAATATGTACAAACAATTCTGTCGACATTTACGACCACTTACATTGATAGCGCCAAAATATATTAAAGAAAAGAGGACCTATTATAGTGTTGAAATTCTTAAAAAAAAAAAGTTTTTCCTAAAATAAATTAGTGTTTTCCACAGTTTTTAAGTTTTTTCGAACGTGAATTTCACAAATTTTATATTGATATGACTATCCTAGTAAAGTATTATAACTAAATTGAATGAAAAAGACAGCAAATATTTGATTTCACGCAAACAAGCGCCTATGTATCTGTTGATACGTATTTCGACCTAATAGGCCTCATCAGAACAGAATTGTGTTTCGAAACTATTTTACGGATTTATTATTCAACTACTTTATTTTTAATGTCTTAAATACCGATGTTGAAAAGTATAATAGTAAACCTATTTATTATGTTGATAGGAAGTTTGTTTATATTATTATATTATGTACATTATGTATATTACTCTCTTTGTAGTGCAAAATAAAACTAGTTTTAATGTAATATAAAAGATAATAAAACCTTCTCATCGTGATTGCAGCATTATTATTGATGATAGAAATTAAATAGTTTATTACATAATTGGCTGTCACAAATGAAGTAATTTTTATCAGTAAAAGTGTTAAATAAGAAAATGTTAACAACCTTCAAGAGGTTGTGCTGCGGCCGGCACTGCGGACAACCAAAAATTGCCGCTTCCGCCGGCCGCAGCACCTTCTGGTGTGTTGGAGCGCGTCTTCACAGCCACGAAGTCCTCCTCGTCCAGGTGTCCCGTCGGCATCCGGCCGAAATCCTTAATTTTCATCGACCACCTCGAGTCCTTGCACCACTCAACATCACAACGCACTGCCGGCAAGTTTTCCACCACTACGTATAGCACAGTTCTTCGCGGAAAACGTGTTAGGATTTTCTTCGCGGAAAATGTTAGCGACTTTCCGCGAGAAATAACCAGCGATTGTTACGTGTATGTCCGTAGTTACTGTTAGCGATGGTTGTTTTTGTTTCTTTGGGAATGAGGAGGATGATGGCAAGTCACGTGGCCGCAGCGGCAGCCAATGGCTGAGCGGCGCGAGCAACTTTGTGGGCAGGCTTCGGTCACAAAGAGGCGGGATTTGAACGCTAGCGTGACGACCTGTCTGGCAATTATCAGGTAAAAATTTTATAAAAAATGCCCGATTCTGTATGAATGCATTCCAATTTTCAAATCACCGGTTAGGAGTCCAGCGGGTTTTAGATTATGATAATTCTTAATTATGTATGCTAATTTTGGTTTCCTTCAGTAAATTTTTTTCGTCACGAAACACAAACACCACGGTCATCTTTGTTGCGTTTTGTGGAGTTGTTCCAACCAATCCTTCGGCTTGTCTGAAAAGAAGTTTTAGTGTTAGATATAGTTGATATCTACTTAATAGCAATTCATGAAATCTTAGCATTGTTTTGTTTTTAGTTACAATAAAGTCTTACTTTTCTTGTTAATCAATTTAAAATATCTTATAACTTATTTAATCTATATAATAAATAATGGTAAGAAACAGTAATTATTTTATCATTTTTCTTTGGTGGCTTTTATTTTATAAATATATCGCCAACTTTACAGACATTTCTATAGTAGACAAACATAAAGTTTTATAGTATTTTTTTTTCCTTTATGTTTTTCATGCTGTGTTTTCTTTGAATATATGAAAGTGCCCAACTATCGAATGTGAAAAGTATACATTTTCAGGAGAGCAAGATAACTCTTTTTTCTTCCTTCTTCTTCTTCAGGTGCCATCTCCGCTACGGAGGTTGGCAATCATCATAGCTATCTTAATTTTTGAGGCAGTAGCTCTAAATAGTTGTTTTGAGCTGCAACCAAACCATTCTCTCAGGTTCTTCAGCCATGAAATTCGTCTTCTTCCGATGCTTCCTCTGCCATCTATTTTTCCTTGCATTATGAGTCGCAGGATGCCATACTTATCGCCCCGCATCACATGTCCGAGATACTGTAGCTTTCTTTCTTTAATTGTAAGTTCAATTTTCCTTCTCTTTGCCTATTCTTCTCAGTATTTCATTGTTTGTAACTCTATCTACCCAGGAAACCCTCATAATTCTTCTATAGGTCCACATTTCAAAGGCGTTAAGTTCGTCTCATGGTATCTAGATTTAACGTCCATGATTCCACTCCATAATATAGTACACTGTATACGTAACATTTTGTTAGGCGTACTTTAAGAGCTAATGTTAGATCTTTGCCACATAGGACCTTTTCATTTTTATAAAATTAGAACGTGCTTTTTCGATTCTGACTTTGATTTCTGCCGTGTAGTCATTATTTTCTGTTATAAGTGTTCCTAGGTCCTAACTCTTTTTTAGAGAATACTAAATCAGCACCTTGACAAATGCAAAATTTTTTTATATTTTTTGTGTTTAATGTTTAATCCTTGTTAGATTGATAAAAAATTAAACTGTTTACTGTTTTTTTCTTTCCAAAAAATTACATTCGATACTTTGCTTTTTGTGTTAATCAATGTGTTTTTGTGTTAATCAATCAATTTGTTTGGGTACAATGTCTCAAAATTGCGAATGTGGCATTTTCGTCAGTTTTATATTGGTATACATTTTAACACATTCATTTGGTGCAACGTTTCAAAATTGCGAATGTGGCATTTTCGACAGTTTATATTGGTCTAATGTTCACATTTATATTATTAATTGAAAAGTAGGATTAAAATGATTTTAATGTTCTTACAACGTTTATTTACAAATCATTTAATTAAAAATTAAAGTAGTAGACTAAAATGAGAAAATTATGTTTAAAAAATTTGTTGAAAGTATTTTTATGAAAGTATGTACGTATTGCTAGAAAATTAATGTAATTAGAAACGTAAAAAAACATTAAATATGGAGCTACAGATGTCTCAAGTAAGTCATGACTCTCAATTGTTAATTACTATTTAACTGGGAATAAGCCACAATTAAAGATAAAAATACGTTTATTTGACGTTTCAACTTCCACCTCGGAAATCGTTCTCAAAATACAAACAGTAAATTAAACAAATTTTGTTTTTTTTGTTACATAGTGAAAAATTCTTCTAATAATTTAATTTTATCTGACTCATTTATATTGACAATTCAGACATACATTATGCATTTTAAAGTAGACGACTTTAAAATAATATTGCCAATATTATTGAGTTGCGCTCCTGGGACGACTTTACTTATAAGATAGTTCATTCGATTACATGAAATCAACTTTAACTCGAGAATATCCGTCAGAAAAAAATCATAGCATGTAATTCGTCTTTAAGAAGACAAACACACGACATGATGACAGTAAAATTCTCCTGTTAGTGATTCCATAGTAAATTATGAGGGAAAAACCAGGAAAAAAAACCTCATAATACTATCCCGACATTGTAAGTATTTGTTCGTGAATTTAGTTTACCTTCAACAAATATCAAAATTCTGATTTTATATGTTACGTTATTTAAAAAACATAAATGATGTATCCTCTATATGTTACTGACTTACTAATACTGGTATTTTTCTTTATTAATAACTTCCTCTTTCAATATTAGTAACCAGATCCTACTACATTCTGCCGAGGAATTTGCGACGCAATTGGCCTCATTTAGCATAATTAGAGCCGCTTCTTTGATTTTTCTTTTTTTAACCATCCGTTTCTTTTAGGACTACATTTGAATTATTCCATTGAAACTCTATGTTCATTATACCATGCGTATTTACAAATTTTGAGATCTATCAAATTCTCTATTTTTAATATAAAATTGATTATTATAAATAGAGAATTTGGTAGATCTCAAATATGTAAACACACATGGGATAATGAGAAAAGAAGAAGACCTCAAGAAGAGAACAACCTCAATTATTGTTGTAAAATAATGGTAAATTAAAAGTTTTATATTTTAAATTAATCGTTATTGTTATCTTCAGTTGCGTCAGGTTCTGGAAGACAATCTCTGACAGTACTAGATGTTGATAAAGATTGGTAATATTGGTGGATATAACCAAGTATCCATACAGATAAAAGCTTCCGTCAATTCTAGTCTTCATAAAAATTTATTTCCATTTTGCCGATACTGGTACCATTATACCATCACTATATTTAAAATTAGTATTTCCATTACTTGTTTGCTCTTATCTTTACTTCATTTTCTTTTTCATATTGATTTTGCTTGTTTCTTTGGTTTTATTTTATTTTCTAGTGTAAATGTCACCTTTCTTTGGATTGAAATCGTCGTTATGAAGTAGGTATGTCACTTCAAACGGGTATGGCTTAGTGCGTGCAAGTTTTATGATTTTTGCCCATCCTTTGGGCTTATTGATTCAATTTTTGAATGGATATAATCGGTCACACATGGTCAAACACATGGTCAATTTTTTTAAATTTGGGTGACAATTAACAACATATTGACACATGACAGAAAAAGCAAAGTTTTTTCTGTTGTCCTCCGCAATTGTCGAACATCACTTCTGACATGTTCAACATCAGGGTAAGACATGATGTATTTAAATATACATGTAGCAATTTCGGTACCACTGCGTTTTCCCTCGGTTTAATCCCATATAAAACACTGGACGCTCCATTCTCTTAAATAATAAATGGTCAAATTATAAAAAGTTTTTTCACATAAACACAATGTTCTGCAGCTCCTTTAGGCGTTGGCAAAACAAATTGAAGATCGATATTAAATGCTGAATATTTTCTATTCTCCAAAGCTGACTGTTTATCATCATCCCTTTTTTTTCTCGCTGCATCTTTTTTTTCGAGGTGTATTGTGATGGAAAGGAGAATAAACACTGTGTGGTCGACGTCCAGAGACAGTATTCTTTAATGTTTTTTTAAAATAATTATCTTCTTCTTTGGGTGCCGTCTTCAATGAAGGTTGGCGATAACCTCAGCAAAATCATTTTCTGTCCCAGGCTTTTCTTATTAAAGATTGAGAATCCAAACCAGTCCACTCACGAATGTTCTTTAACCAGGACGCCTGCCGTTCTACCAGGACCACGTTTCCTTCTACCTTCCCCTCTATAAGAAGCTGCAGTAGCTGTATTTCTCATTTCTGTATATGTGTCCCAAATATGAGGTTTTCCGTGTTTTCATTATTTTTTAAGAGTTCTCTGTCAGAGAGACAGAGAGAAAGAGAACTCTTAAAAAAAATAATTATCGTTTTGACAAAATCATTGTTTCTGGTTTAGCTATACCCAATTAACTGAATAAGCGATAATGAGAAACCGATAAAAACAAAATGATAAGTACCTCACCGAAAGAACTTCTTGGAAGCAATAATTCACACAATTGTGAACAGATGCATTTTGTTCTTGTCAACAATGTTTAGTATTTTCGACAGTTTGTAGATTGTAATTGAATAACTGTATCAATTACAACACTGAAACGTAATGAATGTGACACATTCGTCATTTTGCGTTGTACAAATATATCTTTAGTTAATTGTATACAAAACACAAGTATCGAATATTTCATTTTCGTCAGTTTGCAGTATATTCGATATTTTGACCAAAACAAAATGACAAAATGTTCATATTCGATGGTTTAAACAAAATTTTCCGCGTTCCTTATCAAGCTACAATTTCGATATTTTGCTACAAGGTGTATCACGTCTAATGCAAGAACAAGGTATCTAATCTGAGAAAACCCGATTTTTCACATTCGATAGTTGGAAATGGTAGGGACGATGTATTTGCTTGTGTTTTGTATATGTGTATTCGTTTTTAGAAAAATAATGCACCCACAAATTATTTTGTATTGAATCTGTCCGG